CTCTTTCAATTTGTTTAAAATGCGTTATGTCCCGTTTTCGATCATTTTTTTTAGATAAATATATGGATGGAAGATAAATTAAAAATATTACGTGTAATCTTCAAGTGTTTTCACGTGAGAAATGCTTTAAATGTGTTATTTCATTTTCCGTCATATACGTCATGAAACCTCTGTTGATGTGTTTCATGAAAAAGAAAACTATCAAAGTCGAGCGCTCTTTCGCTCATCCGTTTCACCGAAGCTTGAAAGGAAGACCAATGGAGCGACGGGAGAAAGAGAGACAAGCGATTGAACATTTGTTTGTGCACGCCGACTGAGGTTCTAGAATGCTGCGAAGCTGTTCGACTTTAACAAAAAAAGAAAGCCAGCAGTCTCTTCGTCGCATCGATTTGGTCGATTGAAGCTGATATTGTGACGCCCTGGCTGGAAGCCTCGGGTTTTACAAACTGGAAGATAAAACGTCGGTTTTGGCAGATGCGAGTCCGTTTGCTTTAGGAGCAGTACTAATTCAGACAAATGCTCAAGGATTGTCGAGGGTGATCAGTTTTTCATCTAAATCTCTCACGGATACCGAGAGAAGATATTGCCAAACTGAAAAGGAGGCGTTGGCACTGGTATGGAGCGTTGAGAAGTTTCAGGTGTACTTGATCGGTCGTGAATTTAACCTTCTGACGGACTGTAAAGCATTGACTTTCTTATTTGCACCAACATCTCGACCGTGTGCTCGTATTGAACGATGGGTACTGAGGCTTCAATGTTTCCAGTACAAGATTGTTCACATTTCAGGACAATCTAACATAGCTGATGTTCTGTCTCGTCTTTCCACACTGATTCCTCAACCATTTGATGAAGCGGAAGAGTTGACTGTGAGAGAAATCGTATCCTCTTCAGCAACAACAATGGCTTTGAAGTGGGAAGAAATTGGGCGCGCTAGTAGAGAAGACGCAGAAATACAACAGATAATTGAAGCTCTTGACTCCGGGACAGAAGAAGACATGCCGCTGCCATTCAAAATGATTTCAACTGAGCTTTGCCGTCTAGATGACGTGTTACTAAGAGTAGAGCGAATTGTAATTCCTGAGATTCTTCGGCAACAAGTGTTGCAGATAGCACACGAGGGCCATCCGGGTATTCGGATTATGAAGAGCCATTTGCGTACAAATGTGTGGTGGCCCAAAATGGACCAGAACGTCGAAAAGTATGTAAAGGAATGTCGTGGCTGTATTTTAGTTGCTGCTCCCAGCCAACCAGAGCCAATGATCAGAAAGGGACTCCCATCACGGCCTTGGGAACAAATCGCGGTAGACTTTCTAGGTCCACTTCCGAATGGCGAAAATTTGCTAGTGTGTATTGATTACTATAGCAGATTTATGGAAGTCGTAGAAATGGATGAAATAACAACAGTATCAACTATTAAAGAACTTTTAATCATTTTTTTCACGGTATGGAGTTCCAGAGTTACTTCGTGCGGATAATGGCCCTTAGTTTTCTTCTGAAGAGTTTCAAGCATTGTGTGATGAATATGGCGTACATCTGGATAGCACTATTCCGTACTGGCCGCGGATGAACGGAGAGGTTGAACGGCAGAACCGTTCCATTTTAAAACGATTGCGTATAGCCCAGGAGTTGGGACAAGATTGGCGAAAGGATCTGCGACAATATCTGCTAGTATACCATTCTTCAAACCATTCAACTACTGGGAAACCACCTGCGGATTTGATGTTTGGTCGCCGGATGCGAACAAAGTTGCCAAGAGTTCCTACCAATACTTATGACGATGGAGAGATAAGGGACCGAGACGCAATCGAAAAGGAAAAGGGTAGAGCATACGCTGATAATCGCCGCAAAGCAAAACTTAGTACTATAGAAGTTGGAGATCAAGTGTTGGCGAAGCGGATGAAGAAGGACAACAAACTGCATTCGAATTTCTCGCCTGAAGAATATAGTGTGATCAAAAAGCGGGGAACAGATGTCACTATTAGGTCGTCATCTGGCAAGGAATTCCGAAGAAGCGCTGCTCACCAAGGAAATCGATGCAGGAGAGTCAGTCGAATGAGAATACGAGTGGTTCTTGTCGTCGACAAGAATCGTCAGATACATTGGACCGTCAGGATGAATCAGTGGGTCAACCGAAAACACTACACCATGAGGACAGCTCAACCGTAGTATCTAAGAGAGCTAGAGTTGAATCCAGTCGACTGAAGGATTATGTAACTTATTAAGAACATAATATTGTTTGTTTCAATTTAAGGAAAAGTAGGGATGTAGGGTTCTACCATAGAGGTAACTCTAAGACCACTGGGTCCCGAAGAAAATCATTATTATTTTTGGCTCACTCAGTACCAGAACAACGGTCCCAAGCAGTCCCAAGCTATTTCACTCACCCCTGCATGTTCTGCATGAATCCACACACCCCTGATGTTATCTGTCAAACTTTCATAGCGAATCAAAACAAACATAGTGTAGTAATAGAATTTCAACTAGAATAGGGTACGTTAATCGTTTGCTTGGGACCAATAGGCTACTAAAGTGGTGAGCCAATTTAAAATCGTTAGTTTCGTATTGATTGTTGGTTCTACTGTTCTATCATTATCCACATACCTTGGATAGTAGATTAACATTGAATTAGTAATGACAGAGAGCGAACGAGAGAAGGGAACGAAGGAGAAAAAGGACAGACACACAGGAGACAGAGTGTGAGATGATCGTGCCTTGCGGGGAATAAAGCATTGTTCGATGTGAAGGAAACCACCTGTTTTAATCAGACTATTACATGCAGATCATGATGGCATCGATCACAAATAAAGTGCAAGTTCATTCGAAACGGTGAAACCACTTTCGGGAAGATGATAATTGCCCCTATCCGATGATGTTGTTGGTTTGCGTGGGTGTACTTTGGTTCGCGTGTAGAGGGCCTTAGAAAGTTTGTTTACAAATGCTTTTGTGCCGTTATCAAATGTTATGCCTGAAATGTAATAACTTGTTATACATCGTTTGGAAGCTGAATAAATATCCTTTCGTTTGACGTTTTGATCGACCATGTATGTTGTTTAATTCTTGAGTTATGATCACTTGAATGCGTCCAAATTTACTTTGAATCGTGCTTTATGAAGCAGCTGCTATATTACCAACAAGTGTGCCATATTACCAACAATCAATACGAAACTAACGATTTTAAATTGGCTCACTACTTGACCAGCCTATTGGTCCCAAGCAAACGATTAACGTATGCCATTCTAGTCGAAATTCTAGTACTACGCAATGTTTGTTTTGATTCGCTATGAAAGTTTGACAGATAAAATGAGGGGTTATTGGTTTTTCCTATGTATGGACCGAAGAGAGTACCAGAGCTGAGCCAAAAAGTTGAGCACGTTATTTCGGGACCTTCTAGTCTTAGAGTTACCTCTATGATATTACTAAGCGTAGTTATAACATAAATTGTTCATGCTGTTTAAGCTCTTAATGCTGCAGGAACGTGCTATTTGTTTTGAATCTTAGGTACGACCGCAGCGTGTCTTTATCTTGGGAGACGTTAGTTAAGGATTTCTAGATACTCGTATGTTTTAAATAGGATTTAAAGATTGTATAAATTACCATGAATTTTTGACCATTCTAAAACATCTCGTCTTTGGTTTAATTTAGATGCAATAATGTTAATAAATAAATCATTTCTTGGTTTTCTTCAACACGAACATGATTTTAAAATTTCAATCAATATGAATCTGATACGCTGAAGAACAACGAAAATTCCCAATAATATATCATTCACATTCTCACTCTTTATACATTTTATGCATAAAGCATTTCTATACTAAGTTGGTATTCTCTCTCTCTCTTTATTCCTTCACTTAACTTTTAATCTATATAGATTTCAAAATTTTTTGAGTGTACAAGTTCACTGATTCATTTATTGATAGTTATACCAACAATCAATACGAAAGTAACGATTTTAAATTGGCTCACTACTTGACTAGCCTATTGGTCCCAAGCAAATCGATTAACGAACCCCATTCTGGTATAAATTCCAGTACTACACTATGTTTGTTTTGATTCGCTATGAAAGTTTGACAGATAAAATGAGGGGTTAGTGAATTTTCCTATGTTTTGAGGGGTGAATCGATTAGCTTGGGACCGAAGATAGTACCAGAGCTGAACCAAAAAGTTGAGCACGTTTCTTCGGGACCTACCAGTCTTAGAGTTACCTCTATGGTACAACCATAGAGGTAACTCTAAGACCAGAAGATCCCGAAGAAACGTGCTCAGCTTTTTGGCTCAGCTCTGGTACTCTCTTCGGTCCCAAACTAATCGATTCACCCCTCGAAACATAGTAAAATCCACTAACCCCTCATTTTATCTGTCAAACTTTCATAGCGAATCAAAACAAATATTGTGTAGTACTAGAATTTCAACTAGAATGGGGTACGTTAATCGTTTGCTTGGGACCAATAGGCTAGTCAAGTAGTGAGCCAATTTAAAATCGTTACTTTCGTATTGATTGTTGGTACAATAGTGTACTTTGTATGTCTGTACAACGTATTAAGTGGGGGGGGGGGGGAGGGTTGGTTTGATAACTCTAAATAAGTAGGGGAAATGTTGGTCTCGGCAATACCTTAACCTATTATCGTCAGGGGGTAAACAAATTCCTAGAGCACGCAAATTTGGTCAATAGATGCTCTGAAACACAATGTATCCTCATACCAAAAATTGAGCTCTCAAGAACGTTGTATACCCCCTGACGATAATAGGTTGAGGTATTGCCTAAGCTGACATTTCCCCTACCTGAATAAAATAAAAACTGCAATTTATATTAAGCCCAGTAAATCAAATTCTGCGCTCCATACATTGTCCACACAAAAGCTCGAGGCACATCACAAAGAACAAAAAAAAATCACTAAACCGGTTGGCTTCGATTTCCTTCCATTATTATTTTCTCCGATCGCTGCTCGCGATCTCGTCGTCAGTTTCGTTTGGGACTTGCACCTGACAGCACCAGCCAGCATCAGCAGTCTCCACCACCACCAGAGCATCATCATGAAGCGAACGTTGTGCCTCGCTCTAACCGCAACCGTGATCCTCTTCTGCCAGGCCCAGCAGGAGAACGTCCCGGAAGCGTTCACCGAGAACGAAATCGTTCCGGACGTCGTGCCAGTGGCACCACCTGCCCTGGTGAAAGTATCCTACCCATCGTCGGGCAAGCAGGTCAGCCTAGGCAATGAACTCACACCGACGCAGGTCAAAGATCAACCGACCGTCAGCTGGGACGCGGAACCGGGTGCGATGTACACGCTGATCATGACCGACCCGGATGCACCGTCCCGTGCGAATCCGAAAATGCGCGAGTGGAAGCACTGGGTCGTGATCAATGTGCCCGGATCGGATGTGGCCTCGGGGGAAACGGTAGCCGAGTATGTCAGTTCGGCTCCGCCGCAAAAGTCCGGCCTGCATCGGTACATTTTCCTGGTCTACAAGCAGTCCGGCAAGGTGCAGTTTGATGAACCGAAGCTGAGCAACCGGTGAGTGTGGATGGAAGGGGATTTTTGGTGTGTGTGTGTGTGTGTTTTTAGTTTAATATCTGTTAAAATAGTAAATCAGTACTGAAAAGATTATCATTAAATTGGAGATGTCGGTCACGAGACATTGCATACTGCGCTGAAGGAACTTCATCAAGTATAGTCGTTCTTACAGGGAAAAGTCTCAGGAATCGAAAAGAACTGGTTTCATCTCGGGCAGGATAGTGCAAATTGAATTGAACCCAGCCACCTCCAGCAAGGGTCTTGCTTTGTAGCTGCGCCTTTACCGACTGGGCTAAGAGAAGTTCCCCAAATTCCGATAAAATTTCAAGAATTTCTACGATATCCCTGAACAGCTGCAAAGACCTTGATGTTTTAGCAGTTCATTGAAGTTAAAGAAAAATCCCTGAACATAAACGAAGTGTTCCTAATTTTTACAAAATTCACTAAAATGAACTTCCACAAACTTTGCTTCAGTTCTATAAAATTCACTGCACTTTTACGAAATTCATTAAGATTCCACTAAGTTCAATTTACATCTCTGCAAGAAGTTTTTTGCAATTTCCTAACCTTATATTATTATTATTATTTTAAATTTTGTTCTAAGAGCGTCAAACGACATTTTGCAACAAAGCGACGTTCGTACAACAAACTTCCCTAAGGTGAATAGTGGTCCAAACTCAGTCTGTGGGTGCTATTTGATGCACAGCACATTAAAATGAAACCAACATCTGAAAATTCGCCATACTTATTGGCGGGTACGTCACGTGAATGTCAATGCTTCATGAAGATTTTCCTTCCGCCATTAGTGTATTTAAATCACGCAAAATAAAAAGATAACCATTTAATCCCCCCTCCCTCCACCTCTATAATCCACAGCAATCCGAACCGTGGAAAGTTCCGTGCCGCCGAATTTGCCGAAAAGTACCAGCTCGGTTCCCCGATAGCTGGCAACTTCTACCAGGCCCAGTACGACGACTACGTTCCACAGGTGTATGCCAGCCTCACGGAAACGAAGTGATGATGCTCCCGGCCGCTCGTCGCAGCAGGCCGAAGGCGCTTGTCTCCAGACCCAACCACCATCATCACTGTTTGGCGCCCGGTTCTCTAAAACACACTCCAACACCACCTTTGTCGGTCTTTATCACACTCTGAAACACTCAATAGTGCCGCTTAGTACAACCCACTTGTTTTGGCACCACTTGGCAATAAAAATCACAGTGCACAAATAAATAAAAAAAAAAACATAATCTATAAAAAGCAATTTCGTTTTTCGTTTCCCTTTCGTTCGATCGACTACCTCCCACCACCCCCCGCTTCCAACCCACTCGCCGTGAAAAGTGAAGCTAGGGCACAATGCAATCTAGTTTGCCTAGACATGTAACTTTGCTTTTTTGGGGGCGCCGTTGCCGTTGCATAGGAACCTGGGGAATGGCCTAAATAGTGCCACCTGACTAGGACTCACTGCCGCCGCGCCGCGGAGAACTTGTTAGTCACACTTGGTTCTCCAGCAGTGACGTACCGACTGTTTTACCCGCCCGCATGTCGTCGGAGTTGGCTCGTGATTTAAAAAATCACAAAATCGTTCCGGATGTAATTCCGGTCCCGCCGGAATCGCTCCTGCAGGTGACCTACCCCGGTGACCAGAAAGTGAGCCTTGGCAACATTCTGATGCCCAAGCAGGTCAAGGACATCCCGGTGGTTAAATGGCCGGTGGAGCCGAAAACCTTCTACACCCTCTGTCTGACCGATCCGGACGCACCGAGTCGGACTACGCCAAAGTTTCGCGAGTGGCACCACTGGCTGGTGGTCAACATTCCCGGGACGGACGTCGAACAGGGCGATACCCTGTCCGAGTACATTGGGGCTGCTCCGCCGAAGAAAACCGGCCTGCATCGGTACGTGTTCCTGGTGTATCAGCAGAATGGACGGATGAACTGCGGCGAAACGCGGCTGTCCAATCGGTAAGAACATTTTGCATCGCGTTGACAAATCCATCCTGATTGACAATCATTTGCAGAAGCTCGCAAGGACGGGGCAAGTTTTCGATCCAGAAATTTTCCGAAAAGTATCAACTCGGCATTCCGGTGGCGGGAAACTTCTTCCAGGCGCAGTTCGATGACTACGTGCCCAAGTTGTATCGCCAGTTGGGACAGTTCCAGAATGCATTCTAGGAAACGGCCGCACGCATGCAATTGGATGATGGACGTGTTGCGTGTGATGGCTTGCCGTAGACCCGGCCTGACGTGCACATGTAGTGTCAATTATTACTAATGTTGATGTTGATTGGATGAAGTTGTTGAAGGTTTTGGAATAAATTTGGCGTTTGTTTGGAAATGCTGGATCATTTTACTCAAAAGTGGTGGTTTGTGGAGTGAGTATGGCGCTTTGAGGTGGTTAGGAAAGAAGGATGTAACAATGTGTTGATGCATGATTGTATAGAATGTAATGTGCTTGTATATGTGCGTAATTCAAGTCGGAATCGGAATCACTGAAGATGCATGTCGTTCTAATTGGGTGTCATCGTTCGATTTTTGGCCTAAACACATTTTTGAAGCTACACGATCGTAATATTGTTCGCGTTCTAATTCTTGATTAATTGCTGCATGTATTGAACGATTTGGTGCAATCATACCCAATTGAACTAACGGTTTGTTCGACATCTTCAAACACATGTCCTCAATCAAGATCAGTGCCTCGTTATATATGGTTTCGTCCATTTGCAAGTCTTGTTGCGATGTTCTAATTCGCATCCTATGTAGAATATCATTGGACATCTCATCTTTGTATTTGGTCCACAAATCGATGGGTCTTGATGGAAAACATGTTGCAATGATGATTGAAAATAATGTTCGAATTTGGTGTGGGTGAGCCGATATTGTTGCATCGCTAAGAGTGTTTTCCCATTGTGTGTCATTTTCTAGCAAATGCATCCGCTGGCATGCTTCTCTATACGTTGTACACACCACACCATCGACAGTTCTTATATTTTCGAATGATGTTGGACCGCGAACATTGATTAACAGCAAACGCAAATAAAAACATTCAACGTTGCTGGGATGAACAGTATAAATACGTCCCAATGCATCCGTTGAATAAACTTCCGGATATCTGGATATTCGCTTTCCTTGCTTCCTACGCTGAAACTTTTTCGTCGACTGATTCCAAGTATAGTATTTTGGCATTTCGGCGTACAATAGAGTTCGGGCAAATTCATCATTTTGGCACGTTTCGAAGAAGCTGGTTAATGTTGTTGATGGTGGTCGTTCAGCACGTTGCAATGCATTTTCGGTTGTGAAGTACACTCTTTGGCCATTTTCTAAATGTACCGCCAAATGAATAACGGTTGGATACCTCTCGTGTATTGCGAAAGAAAATATTCGCCAAATTGCTTCATTAGTGCTCACATAACGACCCATTTGATATTGCGAGACTTCATCATTGCATCTATCAGAATCAACACCGAACACAGCCATGTCACTTCCTTTAGTTACATACTTGCATATGTACTTTATAGACTTTACTGAATTGCAGTACTCAATGTTGATGTGAGCTTTGAAAGTTTTCGACAGCAGAGGGGAGTATGGGACAACCCAACGGTTATCAATCTGTTTTGAATTATTTAATTTTTTGTTAAATTGCAGAACTCAGTTTAAATAGTTTTTTGTACCTCTGTTTCTTGTTGGTTTATTTTAACTGTTGTTGTTTGTCCATTTTCCTCGGTAGATCTACGCCGATACTGTGGATATCCGTCATCGCCAGTGATCGTCTCGGCTATTAAAGCTCTGGGGTATCGTTTGCTACATTTTCCATCAATCATGCATGGAGAATTCCTATTTAACACTCCACACGGACCGTGAATCATGTTTTTCGTGACTACATCGTACAATTCGGGATCAATTGATGGATCAGGAATCTCTGCAGAAATTATGTCATCTATTTCATTTGGCCTGGGAATAGCAAAAAATATCATTTCGACAAACGAAAAAATTTGAATTCTCAAAATTATTTGATCACCTTATTTTATCAATTAACCAAATGAGAATATGAGCATGTGGCAAACCTCTTTTCTGCCACTCCACCGAATACATCCAACAGCGTGTTTCTCCAAATACATGATGCTTCACTATAAAATCGATGAGTGATTTTAATTTTTGCTTAAAGACTCTTGCTGTTATGTCATGTCGGTCGACGGGTAATTGACCAGGAAATAAGTTTTGTTTTATTTCGGTCCACTGTGGATTGCATGTGAACGTAATGAATAAATCTGGTCTTCCGTAGTGGCGTACGTATGTCATTGCATCTTGTGCATATTCGTGCATATGTCGCGGACTACCAACGTAAGTTGCTGGGAGAATCGTTAACCGGCCAACATTGTTTGCATTTCCATCTATATTGATGGCATCTCGTAGATGTATGTACTCTTCTGACCGCAGTTTTTTCTGATTCAGACGTATATATGTTAATCTCTCTGTTTCTACTTTGACGTACATGTCAACTGCATATTGGTGAAATAGTTTACGATACTTTAGTATATGGTTCTCTTTGTTTTCTCGTACCATCATCCGGTACGCATAAAAGTTCATGCAACTGACTTTCTTGGTTGTTTCATTGCCTGTATATTCATTTTAAGTTTTATATATAGATAGATGTTTTATATTTGTGATATTGAACACTTTGGATCTCTATCAAACTATTTAATAAATAGATTTACCTGTTATGGGATTGATCATCTTGATTGAAAAATGGTATCCATCTTCCCCTTGCCAAAATATTAATGGATATTGCAATGCATCATATGATCGATGTGTCTCCTTCACTCGCTGTAGTTGTTCATTTCGCAGATGTAACACAATATCGCGTGACTCCAAATTGTCTCCAACAACAACTACGGCAACTTCATCGATCGTTGGGGCATTATATCTTCTCACGTGTTGTCCTGCTGGAGTTTTATCAGCTCTTATTACTATTCTGAGGTCGTCGGTTGGCATGCGGTCAAGTGCATTTTTAAACATTCTAACCAGTTCATTATTCAGGTGTAAGAAGTTTTGCAGTTGCTCCACAATGTCTCTTCTGACCGATGGATTGTTTACACATCGCTGATCTACTTCTTCACCAGAATTTCCCATAAAATATATTTGAAGAAATTTATGTTTTGCATCGGGCTGTGGCAACAATGAACCAACTCTATGATAGATTTGGCCTTGAATCTATAATTTTGAATTATAATTAATCTTTTCTTACCAAGGTTATCATATCATTTTGTCAATTTATTGGTTGTACATTGTAATAGAATTTTTTTTAACCGATTTGATCTCACGGGGCTTAGAGTGAAATTGAATAGAACTTTGTATGTAAATTTTTTTTTAAATACTTGATTATTCTTTTTTTTTGGTTCGGTATCTCCAAATTCCAGAGCTCAGTTTCATTTAATTATTTTGTTGCTTTGGGAAAAAACTTCTAAGTGATTGCGTAAACACAGTTTGAGGCGCAAAATTTTAATCTTAAAGTTATTTTTTTGTAAAATAATTTTGATCGAATCGGTTAAATGTACTGTTTTAATTATTGAGTTTTAATTTTTTTAATTCACCTTGAATGTCGGCATGAAATTATCCCTCACAATATTTGTTGCTCCAAATGATGTCATCTGGAAGCAATTGTTGTACAACGTAATATTTTTAAGGAAATGCTTCGATTCAGTATCTGCTCCAGATAACAATTTGTGCAATGGCTCTGGAGGTGGATTCAGGACTGGCAATTTAATTTTTCCACTTGCGCAACAAAATCCATTTGTTTCTTTTGGATATTTTAGAGCTTTGCAGTATTGGCAAACCACTGTCATAGATCCTATGTCCACTGATGAAACAGCAGAGTAATCTTTCGTTGGATCGTAACGAAATGCCATGCGATCTAGAGCATTCGAAGAGATTGGTCTGCCCTCTTGGTTGTTCAAATGATTTTGATTTCTAATATTTGCTGAGCTGTTTATTTCTGCCTGAACTTGTTCAACCTCATTTTGTGATGCGATAATGATTGATATTTCTTGTGAAGCATGTCGGTTTGTACGAATAATTCTTTGATTTCGGGTATTACGGGTATGACGACCTATGTTTCTTTTTACCTTTGGCATTGCTCTCTGTTGAATAATTGAATGTAATGCATGTTTTTAATGCAATAATGTTGAAGCATATAATAGATATTTAGTTCATTCTTAGGTCTTTTTCTTTGTTGGGGTAATTTACGGCATTTTTCCGCATAAAAAACACGTCATGAAGTATACAAACTCAAAGACAAACTAACCTTTTGTAGAAATTGATGATGGGTAGCAGTGGAAGTTGAAAACGATGGTATTTGATGCTGAATGGCTGTGATGATGGCGATCGGAACCTGGTATCTGGATGGCTGTTGTTGGAAGTGGCTTTCGGCGAAGGTTTCCGGTGACTGGTGACAATTAATCGGTTCACTTTCTTCGTTATGGAAGTTATTTTCTGGCTATTTACCGTTATAGGGCTGCATTGAAATGTCTCAAAATCAATGTCTCTCTCTTAATATGTTTATTGTTTCTAAGTTATACTCACCTTTTGAAATCGATGATGAGAAGCTGCACTGTTTATTAAGGTAGGTATTGGACAACGGAAGTTGGTGGGTTTTATGCCGGTGGCAACGGCAACCGTCGATGGTTGCCGGCGATAGATTACAACTTGATTTGAAAAATGCGTGATGGCGGTAATATGTGGAACGGACGTTCGAGATTGGAAGCGGGATGGCAATTGGTTTTTTTCTGATAACAGTTGTGTATGGTTTAGGTTTTGTTTGTTGCACAACGGATGACTGATTGCTGCATCGCCTTCTAGATTGTTTCGCATTCATCCCTGCAAGCTCCCTTCTGGTTTCTCGTAAATTCGGGTTTTCACGGTTTTTCGAATGTTCCAGTGCCTTTTTCATTGCATTTGGTTTCATACAAACACAGCGGAGGTCAAGACGAACAAATCCATGTAAAAATGCTTCTAATCCGTTCACCCGTTCTTGAGTTTTGGAGTGACAAAGGAAACGCAAACTCATTTTTATATATATAGATAGATAATTAGTTGATTGAGACTGTAGCAATTTTAGTAAAATATCATTTTATTGCGCATTTTGCACCTTAGAAGACTCCTGAGCGGAAATCCTCACCTCACCCACAGACGTGCATGCTGTCGTGACCGGATCGAGG